TATTCAGACTAACCTTCTGTTTGTTGGTTACAGCAAGTCATTACCATCGAAACTGTAACACACCGCAACATCTTAAATTGATTGATTCATTTCATTATGAGGACATTGCAACTAGGGTGGGCATGTTTCAACTTTAGGGCTTAGAAATAAAAGCAGAAATTCCTGTCATTGCAGTGAATTGAATCATATGTCTTAATATAATTTATTTGACGAGATAAACGCCTTAGATCATGTTTATTCAACCTTCTTAATCGTGCGATTAAGAGGCTTCGGAAACTCATTTTCTTCAATGATGTAACACAAATAAATTTTAGGTAGTTGAATATCGAAGAAGGTAAATTAATTGGGAAAGAGACAATAAATAAAAAATTTCTAATTACATGCCTAGATCAGGCTATTGTAATTCTGTTCTGCCAAACGATGAATATCTAAGCAGTGTCCCAGAACGCTCTCAAAAGTCTGATGTGAATTACCACTGAAGTTCTCACATTGACTCTGGCCAAAAAGGATGGTGTTACGACAACAGAATAGCCTTTTATGATACTTTACTTTTTCGCGTACCCTCGAATCACATTCAATCATCGGCGCTTTCCCTATAAATCCGCTGTAATGGCATCAACGAATTTTGGCAAGCTTCGCGAAGTAGCAACAAGTTAAAATAAAAGACAGATGAAGATCAGAATGTTGTTCCTCGAAAGCCTGGCTGTACTGAAATTGCCGTTTCAGCAACTGTCAACAACGCTGTGACGTACATGGTTAAAAAGCGATGGTACCTTCAGATCATTTAAGAGCTACTGCTGACAACCAGCAGCCTGAGAAAATTGCCAAAAAAGGCAGAGACCGGTGTTTGGCTTTGTTTGCTAAAAGGGCGTAAGAAGATGGAAGGAGCTCGTTTAAAAAATGTTATATGAGTGGTCGTTTGACTGCCGATGCGTTGAACAATCCTACGAAACATAGAATCCCTGTATGCAGACTGTCGCATGCAAGAAAACAATAGAAATGCTTAATATGAACATATTCTGTGCCAAATCGAATGGTACGGTCATAAATCTGGCCCAAACTTTGTTAGCCCTAAGCGACGACAAAAGCCACAGTAAAGTCAACTTCGTATCTGCGTCATGAAGAATCGACAACGACTAATGTATAGGATCCATGCTTCTTGAAGAACGCTGATTTGTATATTCCTTATCCATTAGAGAGTCCTGAAGGACGGTCGTGAAACTCTTTCGACCAAAGTCAATATGCAAAATTCAATTGGCAACACAGGTGTGGTTTTTGAACCCATTCTGGGATGCTGTGTAAATTCTCGCTGACCTCCTCAGCAGAATTGCAACAGATCGGTCTCATCATGCAGCGAGGAAACTTTACTTTTTTCCTCTTTCCAGAATATTCGACTGTCTTCAATATTCATCAGTATAGCGTTATGTTCGTGAAGCAATCAGAGTTCGCTCCCTCTAGCAGGTTGATGCAACGGGATGCAACGGTTGTCGATACTATGTTCTGCCAGTGCAGTCCACACTACGTTGTGCTCACCACTGTCGAACACTTTCTCATAGACAACGAAGGTTATGCACAGAAATAGCTAGAGTCATCTTGCATGCTCCAGGAGTTCACCTAAGGCATAGATTTATCCATTGTGATGTAGCTCCTTCAGAATCCTGCCTCTTCTCTTGGCTGCTGTTCATACAGCATTGTTGATAGTCTGTTGGTGGTGATCTTTGTGAATATCTTGTAAACTTGAGAGATCAGGCTAATTGGGTGAAAATTCTTCAAATCCTCCTTCTGCTCCTTCTTGAGCAATAAGACTGTTTTTGACTGCTTCCAGTATGATGGTATTTTTCCCTTTTCCAAATAGCAACTCAGTCTCTCCGCTAGAGCTCCTCACACCGACCATCTGCCTTGATCATTTCAATTATCAGACCTTCTCTCCAGTGGGCCTTCCTTCACTTGCTTTGTGACATGCCGAACTTTCCTTGAAAGGACGTGGAGTGCACTTTCTTCTGACTGAGTGACCCTGCGAGGATGCGTACCTTTGAAGGTAAGAGATGGATATTGAAGTTCTTGCACATGCAATGTATTTCAGTTCTGTCAGAAGTTAATACACCATTTCCATTTTTCGCTGCTGTGGTGGTTAACTGATAAAGCGCCAGCTCTCTCTTGCACTGTTTGATGTTTCTGTGGTCTTGTGCTGTTTCCCATAATTTTCGCAATCACAAGGTCCTGAAGTCCTCCTTCAACTTCCGTCCAATCAGCTTGCAGAGAAGAGAGTACTCCACTGCGTCGGTCCCATTTCTCTTTCAACACCTCCGCTTCTCAGCAAACTCTTGGATGTTACCACCTCGGCTGACTTTATACGAGGCATCAGTTTTTCGAAGTTCTCGTAATGGTCGCCGTAGTTGACATCCAGGCTCTAGTCTTTGCTGATAATGCACCATGTGTGGTCACTGTCTATGTTAAGTGATGGAACTACTGCTGTGTCGGATGATGGGGCAAATATCGTATCGAACAGAGCGAAGTTGATCCCGTCCATCGTCGCTGTTTTGGGTGCGACCCACCTTTTGTTGAACCAGGTGTTTCGTTTCTGTCATGGTCACTGGCCGATCTCCTTGCCCGTTTTGCTTTTTCCTGCCGTACCTACCGGCGAATGTTTCATTGG